ACACAACAACCACACAACAACCACACAACAACCACACAACAACCACAACAACCACAACAACCACAACCACAACCACAACCACAACCACAACCACACACACAACCACAACCACAACCACAACCACAACGACAACGACAACGACAACGACAAGGACAAGGACAACAACAACACCAACAGCAACAGCAACAACAACAACAACAGCAAGGTACGAACAAAAACTGCAGCCATGTTACAACATATATGTTTCCTTTGTCTCTACAAGGGAGTGGAAACAAAAACTGCAGCCCCGTCGTTGTTTGTTGACCCCCCCGAAAACAACCAGCCAACAAGGACCTTCACCAGTAGTGGTAGTGCTTGTACTAGTGCTAGTAGTGGTAGTAGTAGAAGTAGTAGTAGTAGCAGCAGCAGCAGTAGTAGTAGTGGTGTAACCTACCCCCCTTCTAGAAACAAAGACTGCAGCCCCGTTGTTGTTTCTTGGTCCCCCCTTCCAGAACAACACCTCAAAAACACTAAAATGAACCAGCCCAGACTTCAGTGAAACGAGTCCAACAAGTCCACCTACTTACGAAACCAACATTCGCTCAAACCTTCAACCGTATCCCTAACCGTGCCCCCCTTGAAGTTCCAAAGTTACAACATGTGACAACTATGTTTGGCGGCTGTTTTTGTTTCTACCAACATCAACCACAACAACCACAACTACAACCACAACCGACCTTGCACGATTGCACGATACAATCTTTATTGAAGTTCTTTCATGTTCTTTCTTGGGATTGTTACACCAGAAATCACCGCAACAGTCTTGGAAAAGACATGAAAAGACATTGGAACGACCATGGGGCCCATGGGCCATCATGACGTCTTTCCGGCTCGGCCGATCACCCGAAAAACGTGGCCCGACTTTGTGAAGGAGAGGTATATATATATAGAGTATACTCTCTACGGTGGGTGGTAACCGTAGCTTCTCCAAAGTAGACGCACCATATCGACTGTGCACCGTCTCGACCAAGTGGATCGACAGGGTGCATCTCAGAATCTTAGAAGGTGGCGTTTCTGACGACCTCGGTTTTGCCTCCAATGCCATGCACCTCTCCACACCACATAGCAACATAGCAGACATATGCAAACGTAGCATCTCACGTACCGATCACCTCCCCCCATATGATCTTGTTCGGCCGCCTGCTGGGCAAAAAATTGTTTCACTCCCGTAAGAGAGCAGTAATGGGATCACTGGAATCAGCCCGAACCCTTTTCAAGGAATTCTTGGCCACTGAAATGGCAAACAAATGCAAACAACAACCCAAAACAACACCTTCCAAAGAATTCCAAAGCTGCAATTTGTTGGTGTTTTGGTACACTTCTTATTTACTCTTTGACAGCAAACGAGCTCGGAGATCAAACCGGTGACCTCTGGCTCTACGTAAGAAAAACTCCAAACGCTGCGCCGCATGGAACGCCTAAGCCAGCTTGGCTGGCTGGCGGGGGGACAATGCGAAAGGAGCGAAAGTCACTGCTTCATTTACGGACTTCTTCAACCCGGAGATCGTTCTCCGAAAGATGCTAGTAATAGAACCAGCAATCCAAACAGCATCAAAGAAAAACAAGGTGGCCAAAAATTAATGTCAGGGTTTTCCAAAGAAACAAAGGAGTGCCGATAATTGAATGCATTCATCGCGGGAATGCTATTCCTATCTACCTCCCAAATCCGAATCTCACTTCTTGTTGAATGTGTGTGCATACCTTGGAGCCCTCTTCATTGACTTGAAGCAGTTGACTAAAGCAACCCGAAGCCCTCACTTGGATCAATAGAATTGAGACAGAATTGGATCAGTCTTCCGAACTGTATAGAGAACGTTTTTGTCGTGTGTTGATAAAAATGAACCACACGAGTCCACATGATGCTTAAGCGCACCTGTCTCACATTCTACGAATTGAAACCGCAAAGCACGCGAATTGGCACTCTGAAACTTCAGGAAACGACGCCCTCCTGCAACTTTGGGTGACGGGGTGGGGAGCCCCAAAAAAGAAAAAAAACATGAGAAAAGAACTGAAACCTGACACACACACACAAACGGAACAAAGGAACTCTGGGATTATTCATATTTAATAACAATCATGTTGTGTTGAGTTGGCCTGGAGCAGTCCATGACCTTTGTCTTCTCCAACTATCTCTGACACTGATTACCTCACACAATCAATTGTTCATATTGCTGCCAGTATCGTCTTCGGTACAGCATGCAATAATTATGCAAGGTCACAGCAGTACATAAATAGATATCATGAAAATCCATATGTGTCTTTGTTCCTTTCCTCCCAGAACTGCTGTGATGTTCTTCCGCCGTCGGAGAAGCCCTTCCTACAGGCCGTCTCGGGGAACATCCGCGCTCTTGCGACCACGGCGGCCTCAGCAAACAAAAACACAATCATCAATATGATATCCATCTAAGGTACATCGATCTATCCACTATACATACGTATATAATCATATATGTATATATATATATGCCTCATCGATATGCCTCAGTGTACAACTATCCGTACAAGGGGATGATAGTGTAAGATAGTGTACGAGTACACCCCGATGGATCCCAGGAATCCCACTTTTTGTAGGTGACCTGTAGCGAAAAAGGTGCTCCAGCAGCAGAATGCATTTGGGCCACAGCCGCAGGCCGGGCCAGCCATGCGTAATAGGATTGTATGTGCTGTAGATCGTAAAACAAGTTCATTCACTTATCTTCACTTGGTTCGACATTCCTTTTCGGATCTTTACCCACTACCCTCAGTAAAACATCATATTGCATTGCCCGAAGCGCGACCATATTTGTATGTTCAACTTCCCTGTGCTTTGTGATGAGTGAAACATCGCCGTTTGGAGCGCTGCAGCTGCAGCGATGTTAATCGAAGAAACATGAAATAGACTGTGAACCCTCGTCCAAAAACTCTCTAACACCTGGAAGGAGGTACATTTTCACCCAGCCAAGCAGATTGGGAAAGAACATTTTGAGCGCTCACCAGACTCAGTCTAGTGTTCCTCTTCCGAAACCCAATCTCTCCGCCAACGCCCTTTGGACCCCGGCCCTGGCTGGTGAACACGCCCACAGCACGGTCCTCCTCCCGACGTGCGATCCATATGTGAAGGATTGGATGGATAGGAATCCTATGGAATCATTCATGGAGGAAATCCTCCACCACTCCAGCACCAGAGACTAGGAACACACCTTTTTTCAGATTATTGGCGGTTCCAGGCCAGGTGGTGCAATATTTTTCAATCTAATCAACAGTAAGGTTTCTCACGGAACATCGCCATTGGAGTGTTCAATATGTTTTTGTTCGATTGGGGCCATGCATGCCATGCTCTCAGGTGTGTGTTTTTGGTTAACATCCACATGCTGATGATTTTCGTGCAAATGTTGACAGTTTGGTACAGTTTGACATTTTGATATGAGTCATGGTAGGTCATGGCCTATTTGTGTCTATACACTACAATACTGCAATTTAAGAAAACTAGCAAATGAATGCAAATGAGAGATTTTGGAGTCCGGCTTTCATGCCACACCGCAATAGGCCCACCTCCATGTGTTGACCCCAGGAGACGTCCGCATGGCTTGTGTGGCCTGAGCCCGGAGACGGTTTGGGCAAAGGTTTGGACCTTCGTGAGGTACATGTTGCAAAATGGCCTTATTAGCCTTTGGCTTCAGGACGTTGCAACACATCCACCTTGGGGCTTGTTCGTCAAAGCTGGTTATGGTACCTGTTGCTGGTGATGGCACCAGTCACCGCTAGCTGCCAGATCCCCATGATGAGAGACTTGGCTGCAAGCCCAGCAGTGTCTCTGGTGACCCGTCCAGAAAGCATTTCCCAATAACATGAACCTCAATTTGCCGCGGGTTGAACTAGCATGAATGTACGTTAAAATGACCAAAAAAGCCGCGCATTGCGATCGGCACACAACATACTCTACATAGATATTACATAATCCGCCGACCCCGGTCTAGGACGATGAACGTGAGCGTCAGAGGAGCGGGGCTGGCGTGTTCCTGAGAGGGGCTCCGGTGAGGTGGACGATGCATCGTCCGCCCAAAATCTGCCCCAAACTTGACAAATGTCTGAACCTTCGATTGCCATGCCTGCAACGCTTGGAAAAGCGTTGCCCAGGATTTGGCCTGAGGTTCGACTCTCCCCAGGGTTCAACTGTTCGACTCCCCTCACCCGTTGGATTCAGGCATGGCCCCGAAGATGCGGAAACCATCATGGACCCCGCCTGCGTGAACCCTGCTTTGAGGTTTCCTCCAGCAGTGAACATGACCTCCTGCTGACACGCCGGCCAATGCCGTCAAGATCTCTCCATTGTCTTCCGCGTACATCACCATGAACACAGTCTCTGCTATACATCGATCACCACCGCCCCCCCCCTTTCGCTTCCAATTGCCTCAATGCCACCACTCTCAAACATGGTTGACAAGCCACTCACCCCCTGACGATTCTAACTGGACCATTCCAACTGGAGCATTCTAACTTGTAACTCCTCATCTCTAATTACTTTACCATGCTCTCCACTGACTGGGGGGCTTCATGACAATTACACAACACATATTCCTTGAACCTGCGAACCGCATACCAGCTCACCGACCCCTCTCAGAGGAGGCGACAAGTAGCAATTTGAAGACGCCTTCTCCGAACTTTTGATGTTAAACGTCCAAGGATTGAAAACTACTGACCTGCTATGGTGTTGGTGGTATAGAAACACCCAGCTTAATCTGGCATTTGGACTCAGACATGCCTAAGTGCATTGCCCTACCCACCACCTTAAGTCCAGTGAGATGTCCGCTCAATGTAGACAAAAACAGAGATACTTTACTAAACTAAACTACACCTCTCCTCATCTTTGAAGCACGTCGGTGCGCACCTTCTTTGGTGAACTCGCAGTGGCTGCTTTCTACCTGACGATGCACGGCCAGCTCCTCTTTGGAACAAAATCAAACATGAAGAACTCAAAAGCGGCACACAAGCAGCTGCTTTTGTAGCTTTGACTCCGGGCTGTCCAATGTCTACCCCATTCCCCTCCAAACACGTGATATGGCACCAATCCCAAGTGTAGTATTTGTTTGAGGTGCTCTTCAAAAGAATGTGGTGAATTGCAAGATTCCTGATGGGGGTGGGATTGCTCCTCAGTCCGTTCAAGGTGAATACTATTTCTCTGTTTGATGACAAGTCGCCCATGCTTTTAAACCATCTGGCCGTCTGGCCACACAAAAAGAGGCGGCGATAACAAATGCCGATCGCATGTATCAGCCTCAACTCACCACAATGATCCTCCTCTTGCCTCTTACACAGAAAAACAAGGGGCGGACAGTTCTGCTCCGCAGAATGCCCTTTTTCATCCTAGTTCCAACAATATACATGTTACATGTTCAACATTGAGATTAATGGGATGAACACGATACTTGCCTGTCGCAAACGCTTTTGAAGTGCCTCAGTTCCAAGCGAAGCAGCACATGCGAATCAGATTGGGCAAAGGTCTCCAGGCACAAACCCTTAAGCGTTGGTTGGCCGGCACACGCCATGGAAATAACTTTAAATAGCGTTTCAGTTGCTGCTCTGGATGAATCAAGGTTCAACTGCACCAGTGCATTCGAAAACATGAATCACTCGAAATGAAATAATTGTGCCAGAATGTGCCAGCCAATCTTGCTCTGCAACTCAATCTAACTTTTCCCAATGTTTCTCCCATTCCTGACATGTCACTTAAGCTTCATTCTTCAAACAACCCCCTCTAGCAGCTAGGAACCGCAATGCTAAACTGGTTAAAAACATGTTTGCTTGCCTTCAATTCCAAAGTATTACCACCTTGTTTGGTTCCTATTAGTATCCCTTAAACGCATTAACATCTTACCTCTTTTTCCACAAGACCTCACTGCTTGGTCCGAAACTCATCCATCCGGATGTGAGTTGGCTTGTCCACATCATTAAGCCAAAACGGAACTTATTTTCAAGGCAGGGCGATCGTCGGCGCCCACAAAGTCTCGCTGGGCCTCCGCACCAGCTGCAGCTCACTGTCTTCCATGGGCTGTTCCGGCGTCTCAGCCGCGAGACGCTTTGGAACCAAAGGGTCGACTCGAAAGCTATATTGCTATAGATATCTATGTATGTGATATGCGTTATAAGAATATATAAGATATATCAGGATATTCCAATCATGGCGAGGTTGTGCTGGCTGAAGTGTCCACAGAAAAACAAATTACTTTACTTCGAGTGGTCCCCACCATGACATTTCAATCTGAAATTTTCCGGCATGCATTGAAACATTATCTTTGCCTTCTTTCTGGCATATCTTCTGACATTATTTCTGACATTCATTCTGGTATATCTTCTGACTCGCGGTTGAGGTCCGGCGGGGAACACTGCCCGCCGAAGCTCGCGGTTGACGTCCCGGGAACACTGCCACGTGACCCTTGCAGTTGAGGTCCGGCGGGGAACACTGCCATCCTGCACTTGCGGCTGTGGTCTGGAGGAGGAGGCGGAGCAGGAGGCGGAGAGGAGGACGAGGAGGAGAACAGCACGGCAGCTGACATAAAATCCAACAACGCTCACCTGACAGGTGGGAACAAAAGGGAATCACACTTACAGTACTCTCGAGAGTGATCTCCAGTGTGATGTAGAGGACTCAAGCCACAAGTGAGTTTCAACAAAGAGGCACAAACAGGCTCTACCTTCTCAAAAGCCGCAATTGTCTGAAAGCTGTATGGGATACTCACATGAGTCAGCGTAGGTGAGCAATTGCCCATCAATTCAGCAACTCCCAAGTTTCCAGACCAGAAAACCAATGAAAATGCATGAAAACCAAAAATCACAAGGGACCGGGGCCGCAGGGTACCTGGCATGGATATATAATAAATAACAAATAAATAAGGCGCATTAAGGTCCAAAGTCCTGGCTAGTTGATTGGTTGGTTTTTCGTTGCGCTGCTCCAAGGGCTCCCAGGGCTGTTCCACGCGGAAAGGCTGTGGCTTTCACTTCGATTCCACTGGTGGAACCACCTGCGGTTCACGTCACCGACGTCCTCCACCGGTCACCGACGTCAAACTGAGGAGGACCCACTGGCTCTGGAATGACCTGAAAAGCAGAAAAAACATTTCCAAGGCTGATCAGCGAATGCGTCCTATCCTTCCTACAGTATCCTTCCATCCAATTGTATACATGAGAATACACGAGATGATTTGAATATTGAAACCTTTTTCTGCTCATGGTCCACCAATGGGTTTTGAGTTGGACTCAAACACACTGAACAAAAACACACAACATAGTCTTTTGTTGCTTTGGGAATTTTCGCAACTTGGGCTGGGCGGGTAGATCAAAAAAACAATCCTGTCTGGCTGGCACAGCTCGTGCATCTGAGATGAAGCCGATGAAGCCTCCTTTGTTGAGTTTTCACGTTGCTGACTGTCTCAAATCAACCCTCTGATTGTATGTGACTGTGCTGATCACCAAGTTATGTAGATGTAGGCTGCAGTGACGTTCCTTCCACACAACATGTGGCGTTTTCGTCGCACGGAATCCAGTATCAGCTTGGAACTACTGGAACAAGTGCATCGCTACTAGGAACAAGTGCCTTACTAGTAGTAACAAGAAGCTAGTAGAAACAAGTGCCACGCTACTAGGAACAAGTGCCTTATCCCAGATCTTCTGAAATGAAGCAGCCAAAGGGCCCAAAGGGTCAAATGTCTTCCCAGGATTGACATGGCACGTGGTAACACGCACTTGGCACCCTCCCCATCGGCCCATGCCACTTTCCATGTCAACCAAACAATGGAACATCCGAAGCACTGCATCATAGCTACGTATGTTCAACCATGGCCCACCAAAAGGCAAGTGGCAACCAGGTTCTGCCCATTCGTCGCTGCGTCAAACACTGCATCCCAAAGCTGCTTCGCCGGTTCAGTATCCCGGCCCAATGCACGGACTCTGGTTGGCTTTCACCCGAAACGCCTGGACAAAAAGAAGGGCAAACCCAAGTTCCAGAGGCGAAAGCATGTGAAAGCCGTACGTTTCGCTAGAATTGAGCAAGAAACGACTGGTGACTGGTGTTCTGCGTCAACATCAAAGACTGCAAGGACATTGAATTAGGATGCAAAGAACCAATATGCCGTATCCCCAACAAAACGATTGCGAGCATCGTATCAAACAGTAATTAAGTCGGGTCAAACCAACGTTCCTCTTAGAAACGTCAGCTCCCGTCAAACAGGTCATGCGACGTCAGCGGTTGTGCCCGGGTCTTGTGCCCGCTCACATTTAGTATATACAGTAGATCCACAAGCACGTATACATCAACTGACTACACCGCCACTGCCCAGGCGAGGTGTTCCGGAGAACTCCCTCTCTGTGTGAATTCACGTCCGCCCACCGCACAGAACCACCAGTCCTCTGGGAAAGCTTTTGCTGTGGCGCCAGACCTCAACAACTGAGCTTATGGCATGATTGCTGTGGGATGCAAGACGTCTGCCGGTCCGCATGATGTTCTCAGAGGCCCAAATCATGCACTTGCTTTTTTTGCAGTTTGATTAACGAGCCGAAATGGATTTGATTTGGTGCAACTGACTGGAAGGAAGGCGATCCACACTCTGGACGCTGGTCTGTCAGTGTGAAGCGGAATGGACACAGTGGAAATCTCAACGTGGCCAGTGTATCATGGACCACTGAAGGGTAACAGCTTTCAGACAAAGTTGTTTGCTTTCGGCCGACCATCTCCGTAGATCCCAGCGAAGATCAGGTGGCCTTCAACTCTTCTTGCATTTTTTTTGTGGAACAAGAGGCTTTTTGTTTTGCTAGCAGTCAATTCAGCATATGGACATTCATTCTCTTCACCCACCACATGTTGAAGATGTTCCAATAATATGTTTATATATATAAGGGGCTTTGGCAGAACGATGCCCTCAAAAGAAAGAGGTTGTGCTCCTCTCCTGTCCTCTCCCCCATCAAAGAATCACCTCTGCAAAGCCCTTGCGCTTTCAAAGTCGCCAAACTGGTGGGTGATCTCTAAGCCAAAGGGATTCGTTGATCAAGTAAACTCCCAAGCGCCAGGCAGTTGGCTTTTCACCCATTTCCTGATCTGCAAGCTATGCAGTCCATCTCCAAGAGGAAAGGATGAACTACTTGGAACCTATGTGGATCAGTGCGAAACTACAAGACTCAAACCTGTCTCTATGGTCAACTCTCCCTCACAAACTTTACAGCCCCTGGGTGTGCCGGGCCAATCACAGAAGCACAACTGGACATGGAAAAAAATCATCAGTAAATAGAGTCAGCCTGAAATTAATCCACCGCGCCCTACCCCCAACCTATGGGAGTAGATGCAAGAAAGAAAGAAAGAAAAAAAGAAAGAACACCTTATCCAAGGGGCCCTTATGTTTGGTCTCTTCTCCGGAAAGGCCCCGTGTTTTAAGGATCTCATGAACCTGCTGGCAGCATGCCAAGCGCAGGCCGCGCCTCCCGATGGTCAGCTTCCCCCTGAGCAAGAGACACTGGAAGACCACCACAGGCTGTCGGAGTGTGAATGGCTTTTCTGAGGAAAAGGAATGTCCATCAGTTTTTGTATTGCATGGGGCCACATGAGAGGACATGGGTGCGGTGTGAACGCAACTTCCGTGCATGTGGATACCGATGCCAAGCCTTATGGCGGAGCGCATTTCAGCTGCGCACAGGGTGTTTGGTCAACCCAAATATCCCAAAGATTTGCTAACTGCTACTGCTAAGTCAAGGAAAGAACAAAGCCAGGAATGAAGGGAACTCTAATCCAAAGAGAGCGTTACACTCCCGAAAACTAACATGGACCCTGAATTTGGCACCCTGAAAGAGCACAAACCAGCTTTCAGGGTCCATGTTAGTTCAGCGGGGTAGCGCCTGAAATTGAGTGCATGCGATCTGAGTTGCTGAGAGGAGTTAGAAATAATGGCCTGCTGCCCACATGGATGCAAAGAAGAAATGGTTTGCACGTAGCTTGTCCATGGAACATGGACCTTGCCTCACTAGTAGCAGCTGCTGTGACCATTCAGTGGACTCATGCGGATTTGGCTGTTGCAAGGGGTGTAAGGCTTGGTCAGCGATGTGGACAAAGTGCTGGGTCAGGGTTGATCAACTCAAATGACAAAGTCAAGTCTCGGTTTCTCCAGGTAGGTTGGAGGCCATCGCTATTGGTAACAAGGGCATTGCTACTAGTAGCAAGAACGCTACTAGTAGCTAGGGCACTACTACTAGTAGCAAGGACGCTTCTAGGTTGGAGGCCATCGCTATTCGGTTGAAGAACGGGACTCGCCCGCTTCGGGGTCTGCACCGGTCATGCCCCCTGGGATCGGGGGAAGCAGCTCGTTGGTTGGTGAATACCACTTTTGAGTTGTGAAGGCAAACACACGCACTTTGTGGAATTAGCCCTTTAGCCCTACAGTATCCATTCTGTCAGCAAGAGGAGGAACAACCAACCTTGGGGCATCTCCAGCTCCTGGCACAGCCCGTGACCTCCTGACCCGAATGGAACATGTATACGGTTATACAGTCAACTTGTTCCTCTGCAAAACAGTGAGCTTTCAGGGTCCGATCCGCCCTGAGGCATCGTCCAGCGCACATGCCACCGCCACGTCTGCAGCCATCTTCCCAAGCTGCGCCGCATCGGGGTGTGCATCGTCCTGCGCCGATGGAGAACATATAGTGCAGCTCTGCCATGCTCTGATACATATATATATATATACCCTAGACTTCCAAGACCATCAAACACATGGTTGACCTGGTTCTTGTAATGCAAAATCCTTAGTTGATTCGGGAAAGCCTATTAAACTAATGGTTGTTGGAAGCCTAGGGTGTATATATATATATGTCTGGTGACATCAATGGTTTCTACAAGCGTGCTGAAGTACTTGCAGGGAGCGGAAATGAGATAAGATGAACTCAGCACATGAGCATCTTGATGGTACCGCATGAAGCATCCCAATGACTCCTGACAGAGCCTGGAGTCATGATGTCAGGAAGCAGTTACTGAGCCAAGAGATAAGAAATGTTCTTCTGTGGCAATGGCCC